GAAATGTAATGTTTCCAAAAAATTTTTCAAATTTTAAATACGTTCTACTTTTTGTAGATTTTTTGGCAAAAATATGTAATAACTATATCAACTATATCAACTATATCAAGTATATGCTCAAGTATATTCTATCAAATAAAATTTCAAAAACGTAATTTTCAAAATTAAATAAAAATAAATTGCTCTGTGTGTCAATTTAATCTCTAATTCTGTATTCACGGCTACTTGACAATCAATTTTACCCTGATATTTAAAGATATTTTAATATGTACGCAAGTAAAATAATTAAGGTATTTGTTCTTTAATAGCGCCTTCATTGAAAGTTTTATACTGAGATTCTATTTTGAAATTTATAATTATTACCCTAATATATTTTTAGATAACAAATTATTTAATAATTTAATTTATTATATTATATCTATTGGGTATTATATAATTAGTCTAATAATGTTTTCTATTCAAATAGGAATAAACGATATTTATTTTTTTCAGTATGATAGGAAGTTAAGTTACGAATGAAGTCAGAAAATTAATAAATTAAAATAGTATTCCAAGTATACTAATAACATATCAAACATATTACGTTTGAAAATTTTATAAAGTAGTCGTTATTTACATATAAAATACTGGTGAAATAATGGAACAAAACAAACAACTTCGACATCTTACAAACATTCGCATACAAAAACTTATGTATCAAAGCTGCACAAAGAAATGAAAAAATTTAACGCAAATTATAAAATAACGTCTCAAATAGAAGATTTGTCGATATCTAGGAGTTAATTGGTACCAAATTAACATTCAGAAATAATTTTTCACACATTTATTACACGATAGTGCTATTAGAATCGTAAAATTTGTTCATATAATAGTGATATATTCGGTAAACATATTATTATTTGTATTTTGTGTATTATTTATCAAATTACTTACTAACTTGATAAATAAATAAAAATATGTAGCAAAAATAATACTGGTAAATATCACAATATTTGCAACATCATAATCGTGATTTTAATATAACGATCACACTATTTATATAATGATACGATACAATCTGACGATGATATTTCCTATCGATATACGAAATATTATATCATTGTAATTTACAATATCGCATTGTAGATTTAAATACAACATTTACACTTTATCGTTATCATCTATCGCGAGAGTTACGATCGGTCCGCTGATGATCAAACCAAAGTGATTACCTAGCTAACGCATGGTCTCGGAGTCGCGCAAAATGGAGGCCAGATTGAGGTTAACTCTAATTCTCGTTGAAACTTCTCGCAGCCCTCCAAAAATTTGATCGTTTGGATCTTCGTTGAAGCAAAGGTAAGGTTAAGAGAAGACGAGAAGAAGGATAGAGAAGAAGAGAACAGAAGAGAATATCGTCTGCTGGTCCAGTGGTCGGCTGGTTTCCGGTAGCGCGGCGTGGCTGCTGGATCCTCGATCCAGTGTGGCGGAACGCGAGTAGTGGGGTCCCGGCGAGTAGTGGCGTCGCCGGATTGGCCGAAGAGGAATTGGTCTTGGATGAGAGGATGCGAGCCGACGGTCAAAGCGAAGAGAGAGGGAGACTCGGCTGAGCGAGAGAGGCGGTATGGTGGGGGGAACTGCGAACCGAGAGGGACTCGGAACAGTTCGGATGCACACCGTGCAAGGACGGTGATTCAGTTAGCGGCGAGCCGCCGTCGGTGGAGGATCGTTGTTGCCGGTTTTCTATTCCATATTCGTACATATCGCTTCGGTTCGAGCGGCGTGTCGCGCATCGTGCATCGTGTTCTGTCTTTACAAGACACAGTCGCTTCGCGTTCAAACGCGGCCGTCGCGTGTACATGCGCACGCGCCCCTATCGCTTCGCAATTGCACGGACCAGATAAGAAATAAACAAACTAGTGCTACTCAAAAGGTTATTCAATCTTTTATTTATGTTCGCAACATCTGTTTTAACACATATCTATTTAACACAATAGTTTTTTAACACAAACCTATAATTGGAATTAAATATACTCTGTATCATTATTTGGAAAATAGAAATAGTTTCATAATTGTATAATTTATAGTGCTATATTTAGTCATAGATTACATGCATACTGTGATGTATAACATTAACTATTATTTTTAGGACCATATTTAGAAGACCATATCGGAAGATTTGGAATAGATACCGTAATGGAATAATTGAAACAAAAATATGAAATAAAATTGATATTCGATATAACAGATCGATATAATCCATTAAATTATTATTGAACGTAAACTAGCATTATAGAAAAGGTATATAGATTAAAAATATCTCGAAACATAAAACTATATTAACTAGAAATAATAATGTCTTTTATTGCAGGAAACCTTGTTTTTAACAAAAATAGTAGAACGTGTATGAATATTTTTAACACATTAATCCTTGCATCCAAAATTGTATATAACTTTGTATACAAATTTTATAATTACCTATAGCACTAAATTATATACAAAATTAGAGAAATAACGTAAGAAATGTAATGTTTCCAAAAAATTTTTCAAATTTTAAATACGTTCTACTTTTTGTAGATTTTTTGGCAAAAATATGTAATAACTATATCAACTATATCAACTATATCAAGTATATGCTCAAGTATATTCTATCAAATAAAATTTCAAAAACGTAATTTTCAAAATTAAATAAAAATAAATTGCTCTGTGTGTCAATTTAATCTCTAATTCTGTATTCACGGCTACTTGACAATCAATTTTACCCTGATATTTAAAGATATTTTAATATGTACGCAAGTAAAATAATTAAGGTATTTGTTCTTTAATAGCGCCTTCATTGAAAGTTTTATACTGAGATTCTATTTTGAAATTTATAATTATTACCCTAATATATTTTTAGATAACAAATTATTTAATAATTTAATTTATTATATTATATCTATTGGGTATTATATAATTAGTCTAATAATGTTTTCTATTCAAATAGGAATAAACGATATTTATTTTTTTCAGTATGATAGGAAGTTAAGTTACGAATGAAGTCAGAAAATTAATAAATTAAAATAGTATTCCAAGTATACTAATAACATATCAAACATATTACGTTTGAAAATTTTATAAAGTAGTCGTTATTTACATATAAAATACTGGTGAAATAATGGAACAAAACAAACAACTTCGACATCTTACAAACATTCGCATACAAAAACTTATGTATCAAAGCTGCACAAAGAAATGAAAAAATTTAACGCAAATTATAAAATAACGTCTCAAATAGAAGATTTGTCGATATCTAGGAGTTAATTGGTACCAAATTAACATTCAGAAATAATTTTTCACACATTTATTACACGATAGTGCTATTAGAATCGTAAAATTTGTTCATATAATAGTGATATATTCGGTAAACATATTATTATTTGTATTTTGTGTATTATTTATCAAATTACTTACTAACTTGATAAATAAATAAAAATATGTAGCAAAAATAATACTGGTAAATATCACAATATTTGCAACATCATAATCGTGATTTTAATATAACGATCACACTATTTATATAATGATACGATACAATCTGACGATGATATTTCCTATCGATATACGAAATATTATATCATTGTAATTTACAATATCGCATTGTAGATTTAAATACAACATTTACACTTTATCGTTATCATCTATCGCGAGAGTTACGATCGGTCCGCTGATGATCAAACCAAAGTGATTACCTAGCTAACGCATGGTCTCGGAGTCGCGCAAAATGGAGGCCAGATTGAGGTTAACTCTAATTCTCGTTGAAACTTCTCGCAGCCCTCCAAAAATTTGATCGTTTGGATCTTCGTTGAAGCAAAGGTAAGGTTAAGAGAAGACGAGAAGAAGGATAGAGAAGAAGAGAACAGAAGAGAATATCGTCTGCTGGTCCAGTGGTCGGCTGGTTTCCGGTAGCGCGGCGTGGCTGCTGGATCCTCGATCCAGTGTGGCGGAACGCGAGTAGTGGGGTCCCGGCGAGTAGTGGCGTCGCCGGATTGGCCGAAGAGGAATTGGTCTTGGATGAGAGGATGCGAGCCGACGGTCAAAGCGAAGAGAGAGGGAGACTCGGCTGAGCGAGAGAGGCGGTATGGTGGGGGGAACTGCGAACCGAGAGGGACTCGGAACAGTTCGGATGCACACCGTGCAAGGACGGTGATTCAGTTAGCGGCGAGCCGCCGTCGGTGGAGGATCGTTGTTGCCGGTTTTCTATTCCATATTCGTACATATCGCTTCGGTTCGAGCGGCGTGTCGCGCATCGTGCATCGTGTTCTGTCTTTACAAGACACAGTCGCTTCGCGTTCAAACGCGGCCGTCGCGTGTACATGCGCACGCGCCCCTATCGCTTCGCAATTGCACGGCTCCCTCAGGAATGAAACTGACACGCGCGTTCTGCTTGAAAATCGAATACACCTGACAGACACTCAATGAAATACATCGAGGCCGGTTAAGCGCGGGGAATCTTTCAAACGTTTTGAAAAATTTGGCTCGCGAATCGCGAACTCGCCGGGGACGATAAACCTCGTGGAATCGAGCGTGACGAAAGAACGCGTGGCTGGCGGTGGATCTGGTTTCGTTCACGCGGTTCAAGGGATAATGCGAATAGGTGGAAAAATCGACACGAGTGGCGCGGCGGTCATCGATACATTGAGAGGTTAGTCGATCGCTCGATATGACGAGTAGGATCGAGTGATAGAATCGACTGTTTTCGAAACTCGCGTTACACACGATCGAAGGAAACGGGACTGGCGCGGATCGTCGAGATCGTTGGGATCGCTACCCTCGTCGTTCTTCCTTGACCAGAGAAGAACAGAGCGCGGAAATAATAATTGTCGAACGAGGCAAGGACGGTTCGTGCGTAGGTGACATAGCAAGGTGCTGCGGGGGAGGGGGCGGGGAAGGTGGCGTGCGAGGAGGTGCTAGTGGCAGGAACGAAAGGGAGAGAAAGAGACAGCGAAGAGAAATCGGACCGCGTGCTACCAACGCCGGCGAAGATGAAGAGCGAAGCAGCGGCGCGTTTACTCGGAATCGTCTGCGTTGCGATTCTGTTCGTTCACGGAAACGCGTTGGCGGGCAGCGAGATCTACGCGAAGACGTTCCCGAGCAAGCAACACCCGTCGGACCCTTGCTACGACGAGGACAGGCCACGACGGTGCATTCCGAACTTCGTGAACGCAGCGTTCGGCGCCGTGGTAGAGGCCTCGTCGACCTGCGGAAGCGGCGGGCCCACGAGATACTGCGACGTGATCGAGCAACCGGGAGGTAGCACGAGTATAGGTCAGTGCCACATCTGCGACGACAGCACGCCGCGGCGTCGATTCCCCGCGAGCTACCTGACGGATGTGAGCAACCCCAACAACGTGACCTGCTGGCGGAGCGAGCCGCTCGTCACGTCGCAGAGCTTCTCCGCGCCGCCAGACAACGTGACCTTAACCCTCTCTCTAGGAAAAAAATACGAACTGACCTACGTCAGCCTGCAATTCTGCCCGAAGGCTGCCAAGCCGGACTCCATCGCCATATACAAATCCATGGACTACGGCAAGACGTGGCAGCCTTTCCAGTTCTATTCGTCCCAATGTCGCCGTGTATACGGCAGGCCTAATCGGGCGACTATCACGAAAGCCAACGAGCAAGAAGCCAGATGCACCGACAGTCATCGATACACCGGTGGTAATGGCCTCGCACCCGTCGGTAGGATCGCGTTCAGTACCCTGGAGGGTCGTCCGTCGGCGTCGGACTTCGACAACTCGCCCGTCCTTCAGGATTGGGTCACTGCGACGGACGTTCGTGTGGTCTTCAATAGACTTCACATGCCTCAGCAGCCGTCTCAGGAACAGGTCCTGCAGCTCGGAGGGACTGGCGACGATCGTGATCGCGATCGCGACCATGGCCTCGGCCTTGAAGAATTGGCCAAGCGAGAGAGAGAGAGAGAGGAGAGGTTGAAGAATCAGAAGACATCTCGTGGATCGTTAGATCCTCTGGCGACCGCGTTGCCCTCGGTACACCAGGTAATCGCGCCGCAGGAAATGCAGTCAAACGACGCCGTGGACGATGGCGAGAGCTTCGCCGCGGTGACCGTGTCCACGAGCACCAGCAGCAGCAGCCTGACCAACAACCTCGGGACCATCACGCTCGCTCATCACTACGCCGTCTCGGACTTCGCCGTCGGCGGCAGGTGTAAGTGCAACGGCCACGCGGCAAGGTGTATCCAAGGGAAGAACGGCGAGGTGGCCTGCGAGTGCAGGCACAACACCGCCGGCAGAGACTGCGAGAGGTGTCGGCCGTTCCACTTCGACCGACCCTGGGCACGAGCCACTGCCAGAGATGCCAACGAATGCAAAGGTTAGTGCCTGTTCGTTGCGCGCTTCTTTTTCCCATTTCCGTTTACGCCGGTCTGATCCGTCGCCCAGACTAATTCGAGTCTTGCTCTCGAATCGGATTTCAAGCTTCTTCGATTACTCGAAACTGCGCGTTTTCTAGAACTCCGCGTTGTCGACCTCTGGCGGCCGATACTTTTTTCGCCGCCGGACCTCATCGTTTCCATGTACATACGAGTGTGTGCTTAACGTTTAGCACGGCTACGAACCACGCTCGCCACCGGGCTCTTTCCTGCGAATAATTAGGAATAGTTTAAATTTACGCCTAGTGGCGGAGCGGAAGTCGCTTGGGCAGCGATTCGCGCCGATTTCACGCGGTTAGCTCTCGCGGCACGGTTTAACTTGTGTATAGAGGCACTTCGAGTGACATAAAACTTGCACACCGGATGTGTGCAGGATAAATGAAATCTGGTGAAATTTAGCCTGGCAATACGGTTGGAAATTGCCGGTAGAGGGAAGAGGTTGTATCATAGAAATGCTTGCTTTCCCGTAGAGACGAAATTAACGATTACGATCGAAATTATGATAAATCGAAAATATGGAAGACAATCGATTTTCGATTTTTTTAACGTTCGAACATTACGTGTTTAATCTTTGAAATTATTTGCTATGCAAATATTTGGATATTTCGTTGTTTCGTCACATTTTTGTGTTTACTGTCTTGCACAAAAGACTTACGATGGTTGTTTCATTTGTTTCGAGTCTAGAGAATAAAAGTAATCTTTGAAAGGTACTTTGGAAACATGATTTCGTTTCTTACCTCATGTAGTTAAGATAGTACATAGTATTATGTACTATAGCTCTATATATACTATGAAATTATGTATGTATATTACATATACTGTAGTTTTACTGCGCTATACTATAAATACTATAGTACTATTGTATTGTGGTACCATATTCTAAGTTCTGTAGTGCTATAGTACTATACCACAAATACTGCAGTACTATATTAATCATGGCATGGTGTTATGTTATAAATATATAAACTATTATACTATAATACTATAATACCATATTATATGTGCTATATATCAATATTACAAATTACAAAGAGTATAGTATTATATAATATGGTATTGTAATGTAACAATAAATTATAAATACTGTAGTACTGTACTTACCGTCTTACCGTGCTTTATAAATCTACGGCATACATACGAAGCTAGTATAGTGCCGTATTACAAATACTATATTTCTGTACTATAAACTCTATGATATTTTACTATATTATTTTACTATATTTTTACTATAGGTATCATGGTACCGTAGTACTACACATATTATTATATTCATGTTACTATGCCAGTAATAGCATCATACTATATATACCATACTCGTGCTCGTATTACTATACGATAACACAGTACGATGCATAGCGCAACGAGGTTAACGATTTTCGGCGAAACGAAGATACGATTAAAAATAAATAGAATTTACGCGGAATGCGCGAAATATCCCGAAGCTTTTGGTACAGAGTGTACCTATATCCGCCGTTCCTCTAACTACAATGCGCTTGCAATATCTTGTTACGTTTCGATGCCATAATACCGTACATCCTGTTGCGATATTTACGGTGCACTTTTCTTATAAATATTTCCTAGGACCGTGGAATATTTCGACGAGTCGTGCATTGTCCCGAAGCTGTAAGTCGACACTCGCATTACCCACAACCGAAAGGACGGGGGTTGCCCGTGTTTCAAACGTAAAGGGTGCCCGTATTCCGACAAAGTGAACATTTTCATCTGTGCGCGCAGCATTACGAGCACTTTCGTCCACGGTTGTATTTCATTGAAAATATTTTCCGGGCATGCGACGTCACGAAGCCACGCGAGAGGGATCCGATTTCTATTTAAGATAGCATAGGAATCGCTGTTGTTTATCTTTCTATGCGCGCGTCGAAAAAGTGTCCTTCGGCTGAGAGGTTAGGTAAGGAGAAGCGAAGTGGTTAAGCGGTTCGTTCGCCGCGTCTGCTATTTAAAGGGGACGTTATCCTAACCTTGAAATTCGCGAAGGTTTAGAGAGAACTGCTGGTTATAAACGCGTTTCGAAATTAATACCGGGTTTATGCGCGTTTCTCGAGAGCACGAAATTTCTTAACGAAAGTCCCGAAGGGTTATTCCGTAAACTTTTAACTTTGAAGTTATTTCTTTCCCCTTTTAGGTTATCTTTGCGTATCAACGCTATAACTCTATCGCGACGGTGTAATTTTAACGATTACTTTATATTTGATTAGTAAAAGTTTCGAAGGAATATATTTTCCTTAATCGACATTATAAAATAAAACAAGAAAGTTTAGATTATTTTTAAAATTAGCATTATTTCAGAAATTGACAGCAGGATAAATGTAATGATAACTGTGTTTGTTAAATATCATAATAAGTATATTTAACGAGTGTAATAATCGTTTTTAAAAATTCTGCTTTATTCTTTTTACAATATTTAGACTTGAAACAATAATGAAAGTAAAACGATATATAATGATAATAATAGCAACAAACTAATCGACAATAGCTGAACGGATGATAACGAAAGTGGTCTAAGTCATACATGTTTTGTTTCGAAATATTTAAATTTCACGCCTTGGATGTAAAAATAAAGAAAAACTAATTTCGACAAAGCTGCAAACTCGATCTAGAGGTTTAAAGCTTTAACATTTGACCAAAAATAGGGTGCAGTCCCAAATAAGAGACAAAGTAGTTTCGAATTTTTTACTTAGACCACTTTCATAATTACTTAAAACAATAATGAAAGTAAAACGATATATAATGATAATAATAGCAACAAACTAATCGACAATAGTTGAACGGATGATAACGAAAGTGGTCTAAGTCATACATGTTTCGTCTCGAAATATTTAAATTTCACTCCTTGGATGTAAAAATAAAAAAAACTAATTTCGACAAAGCTGCAAACTCGATCTAGAGGTTTAAAGCTTTAACATTTGACCAAAAATAGGGTGCAGTCCCAAATAAGAGACAAAGTAGTTTCGAATTTTTTACTTAGACCACTTTCATAATTACCGCTACAGTCAAGAAATGGATTTGCGAACTTTTATTCTGCAAGTTCGCATAAGCTCGAGTAGAACCTTAAGAGTTAAGAGGTTAGAAAAGAAAAAAGGTCGAAAAAAGATTCGTTAATGGAGAAATAAATGACATCGATATTTACCTGTAACTATTATTCGGTCACGCAGCAGTCGTTCAAAGCGACAGAGAATAAAGATCGCGAAAAGTTCATTTCTCGTTTCGTTTCGTTGGCTGGTCCCTCTATCCTCTGTTCCGCATCTTCCATTCTCGATTCTCGTGTCTCGATTCGCTCCTCGCGATTCCATCTCTCATTCCCTTTCTCTGTTTTGCCCGTGGTTAGACCCCAGGGGTTGGGCACTCCTTTCGGTTCACCCCTTAATTCGAAGCGGCGAAGCGTTGCCTCGAGACTCGTATCGAGGATGCATGCTGAAATCAAAAACGTCGGGGGCAAACCACCCTCTAAAATCGTTTCGAATCGATAAAGGACTCCTTCTTCGCGCGGCAACCGCGATTCGAACTGGCTACGGTATATCGCGATGGAAAAACACCTAACCCTAATTAATGCTCGATTTCGTGATGCGATGATGTTATCGTGATTCCGCTGCGCGATGGGTTCGATGAGATTGAGTGTCGTGACGCGTTGCGTGGATTGTTTTGTTGCGAGTATCATTGTATCTTGCAAGTCGCGATCGGTCAAGAAGAGGTTAGGACACGCATAAGTGTAATTTGACTTTTCTACTGGGTGTTTTGAAGAAATTAGAGGAATGTGTGATATAAAAGAATTATGTAATTTGGAAGGTAAATATTTAAATATATATATACACTGATTATAGATAGATATTTAAATATATATATATACCGAGGACGCTTGTATTCTGGTCCATCAGCCTTAGCCTATGTTAAGTCCATGCGTATTCGTTGAATATTCAAAGTCGATTGTCTTGACAACGAAGCTTCGAATGAAAAATTTGTATTCTTTATTTTCGATTTGCTTTTTCATGTAGAATCACCCCCTACTCGGTTGTACCACTGATGCTGATATATCGATGATCTAGCCACCTAAATCATAGTTAAATGAATATTTAAAGTCGATTTTGCGTATAACGAAGCTTCGAAGGAAAAATTTGAATTTTTTATTTTCGATTTCCTTTTTCGCTTAGAATCACCCCCTACTTGGTTGTACCACTGATGCTGATATATCGATGATCTAGCCACCTAAATCATAGTTAAATGAATATTTAAAGTCGATTTTGTCTATAACGAAGCTTCGAATGAAAAATTTGTATACTTTATTTGCTTTTTGCTTTTTCATGTCAAATCACCCCCTCCTCGGTTGTACTATCGCTGCTGGGACACCCTGTATAAGTACACTTATAATATATACTTCATATTATTGTATGTATCATAATACTAATAATAATATGTTATATATAAGTATATAATATAAAATATAGCGAACAGGAGAAGTTTGTTACAGTATGAACCTGTTAAAGTACAGTTGATATATCTCGTATGTTATATACTGGGTGAACCATGTATCAAGATCACCACCATTATGAAATAATTAAAAATTTGTTTTTCGTAAATAGTAGGATGTGAAAGAATAACGAAAAGATAATGACGCTTGATTTTTGTTAATTTAACTGTGATACCCTATACTCTAAATGTATATATATTTATATTTATATTATTTTATGTTTTATTTTATTTTATATTATTGTTGTTATTATTATTATATATTATTACAGGTTACAATAATAACAATTATAATAACAATAATTTAGAATAAAATATAATATAGAATAATATAGTATGTATATAATAATAGCGAGAATGTAGAGTATAACGTTTATGGTTGTAATGGAGTAAAAACGTGGAGGAAGGAAGAATTTTATTGTGCGCGTGAATATTTTTGTGACCGACTGTAGATGTCGCAATT